ATACTTGTAAAGTAATGGTTTAAAAACCTATTTATGAATTGTATCGCATCAAATACTGTAAAATAACATAACATAATCCAGGTGCTGGTGGCTCATGCCTTTAGCCCTAGCTACTCAGGAGACTGAGATCTGAGAATTGTGGGTCAAAGCCAACTCTGGGCAGGAAAGTCTGTGAGATTTTTTTTTTTTTGGGTCTGGTCGTGGGGCCTGAACTCTGAGCCTGGGTGCTGACCCTCAGCTCTTCAGCTCAAGGCTAGTGCTCTACCACTTGAGCCACAGCATCACTTCCGTTTTTTTTTCATTTTGTTTATGTGGTGCTGAGGAATCGAACCCAGGGCCTCAGGCATGCAAGGCAAGCGCTCTACCACTGAGCCACCTTCCCAGCCCAGTCTGTGAGATTCTTATCTCCAATAAAAACCACTCAAACCAGAAGTGGCACTGTGGCTTAAGCAGTAGAGTGCTCACCTTGAGCTGAAGAGCGCAGGGACAGCACCCAAGCCCAGAGTTCAAGCCCCACAACCGACCAAAAACAAAAACATAAAGTTCACTCCAGCCAGGTACTGGTGGCTCATACCTGTAATCCTAGCTACTTTGGAGGTTGAGATCTGAAGACTGCAGTTCAAAGCCAACCCAGGCAGGAAAATACAAGAGATTTTTATCTCCAATTAATGAACTATCAGAAATCTGGAAGTAGGCTGGGAAGGTGGCTCAGTGGTAGAGTGCTTGCGTTGCATGCATGAGGCCCTGGGTTCGATTCCTCAGCACCACATAAGCAAAAAAGCCAGAAGTGGCACTGTGGCTCTAGTGGTAGAGCGTTCGGCTTGAGCTGAAGAGCTGAGGGACAGCACCCAGGCCCAGAGTTCAGGTCCCACGACTGACAAAAAATAAATAAATCTGGAAGTGGAGCTGTGCTCACAGTGGTAGAGCAGTAGCCTTGAGCACAAAAGCAAAGGAGCAGTGCCCAGGCCCTGAGTTCAAACAAAAACTCTTTTACTACAACTCACCTCTTGCTCATAGTATCTGACCAAGCAGCTAGACACGCTACGGCACGTGAACGAGCAGCACGCCAAAGTGTACGAGCAGCTGGACCTGACTGCCCGAGACCTGGAGCTGACCAACCAGAGGCTGGTGCTGGAGAGTAAGGCTGCCCAGCAGAAGATCCATGGGTGAGGGCTGGGCCGAGGTGGGGGAGGGGAGAGGCCCAGGGCTGAGTGCACCTGGGCCTGGGGCAGGGGGGTAGAGGGGGATCCCAGGCCAGGACCCCAGGATGGTGCTGAGTTTTGTCCTCACCAGTTCAGCACCAGGCTGTTTTAGACAATAAGATGAGGTGCCAGTGGCTCACGCCTGCAATCCTGGCTACTCAGGAGACTGAGATATGAGGATCCCAGTTCAAAGTCAGCCTGGGTAGGAAAGTCTATGAGAGTCTTACCTCCAAATAACCAGACAAAGAGGGAAGTGGAACTGTGGCTCAGGTGGTAGAGTGCTAGTCTTGAGCAAAAAGGAGGCAGTGTCTAGCATGCAGAGGTCCCTGTTCATCTCAGCAGACTCAAGGTTGGGTGATTTTGTTTTGGTGTTGGTATTGGGCCTTGAACGCAAGAACTTGTGCTCTTGCCTGGTTTTTAGGCTCAAGGTTTGATGCTCTACCACTTGATAAGAATCCCATGGATTTGTCTGTCTCGGCTGGTTTTCAACCAGAATCCTCAGATCTCAGCCTCCTGCGTAGCTAGGGTTACAGGCGTGAGCCACCAGTGCCCGGCCACTCATGTCCCTTCGTCCACAGTGAGCCAGGACTGCCCTGAGTAGGCTTTTCTGTCCCCTTCAAACTTCTCCCATCCACGTGATCCCCTCACCTCAGGCTGACAGAGACCATCGAGCGTCTTCAGACCCAGGTGGAGGAGCTGCAAGCCCAGGTGGAGCAGCTGCGGGGCCTGGAGCAGCTGCAGGTGCGCCGGGAAAAGCGGGAACGCAGGAGGACCATCCACACGTTCCCCTGCCTCAAGGAACTGTGCAGCAGCCCCCGGTAGGTGAGGGTCCCCAGGGTCTCTGACTCCCAGGAGTGCCAGTCAGGGGAAAAAGGCAAAGATGGACAATAACAGGCAGCAGGTGGGAGGGAGGGTTGGTAGTTCATCCGGGACACAGACAGTAGTGGCGAGGACACACTGTTCTGTGGATTCAATACTCACCGCTTCCTACAAGGTGTGTTTTGCCCACCACCACCACAGGTAAGGAAATTGGAGCTTGGTGGTGTTTCATCCAAGGTCATGTGCGTAACAAGAGGTACAGATAGGTTCTAAACCAGGAGGACTTAAGCACTGCACCTTTCAGTGCCCACTAAATCTAAGATGGACAAGAAACACTAAATGAAGCCTGCCACCTGTGGCTTACACGTGTAATCCTCGCTACTCAGGAGATCTGAGATCTGAGGATTGCAATTCAGTCAGCCAGGGCAGGAACATCTCTGAAACTCTTATCTCTAATTAACCACCAAAAAGCCCAAAGTGGAGCTGTGGTTCAAGTTGTAGAGTACCAGCCTTGATCAAGAAAGCTAAGGACAGCACCCAGACCCTGAGCTCAAGCCCCAGTACTGAGTACTTGTGGCTCACACCTGTAGCCCTGGCTACTCAAAAGACTGAAATCTGAGGACTGCAGTTCAAAGCCAGCCCAGGCACAGAAGCTTGAGAGTCTCTTCTCTCCAGTTATCCAGCCAAAAGCCAAAGTAGAAGTGTGGCTCAAGTGGTAGAGGGCCAGCCTTGAGGAAAAAAGTCCAGCAAAAGGGCAAGGCCATGATTTCAAGTTCCAGAAAGAGCACTAAAATAAGAGCAGAAAGAGTGGTGGGGTGAGGGGGACCCTCGGCTGAGCTTGTAGCGCAGTGCATCCCAGGATGCACGGGGGACTTTGGCCCTGACCAGTGACCGCCCATCCCTCCTCCCTGCAGGTGCGAGGATGCCTTCCGCCTGCACAGCTCCTCGCTGGAGCTGGGCCCTCGGCCCCTAGAGCAGGAGAACGAGCGGCTGCAGACCTTGGTGGGGGTGCTACGTTCCCAGGTGAGCCAGGAACGCCAGCGCAAGGACCGGGCTGAGCGAGAGTACACAGCGGTACTACAGGAGTACACAGAGCTGGAGGGTCAGCTGTGTGAGATGGAGGGCTGCCGCCTGCGGGTGCAGGAGCTGGAGGCCGAGCTGCTGGAGCTACAGCAGATGAAGCAGGCCAAGACCTACCTGCTAGGCCGGGATGACCACCTGGCTGAGGCCCTGCTAGCCCCCCTGGCCCAGGCCCCTGAGGCTGACGATCCCCAGCCAGGAAGTGGGGACGGTTGCGGAGGCCAGGATGGGATCTCCTCTCCCACGGCCTCCCCCGGACACGCAGTGCGGAAGAGCTGCAGCGACACCGCGCTCAATGCCATCGTGGCCAAAGACCCAGCCAGCAGGCACGCAGGCAACCTCACCCTGCATGCCAACAGCGTGCGCCGGCGGGGCATGTCCATCCTTCGAGAGGTGGACGAGCAGTACCACGCGCTGCTGGACAAGTACGAGGAGCTGTTGAGCAAGTGCCGGCAGCACGGGGCCGCGGTGCGGCACGCAGGCGTGCAGACCTCCCGGCCCATCTCCCGGGACAGCTCGTGGAGGGACCTGCGGGGTGGCGAGGATGGCCAAGGGGAGGCCAAGACGGGTGAGAAGAGTCTGAGCCAACACGTGGAGGCTGTAGACAAGAGGCTGGAGCAGAGCCAGCCCGAGTACAAGGCGCTCTTCAAGGAGATTTTCGCCAGGATCCAGAAGACCAAGGCGGACATCAATGCCACCAAAGTCAAGACGCACAGCAGCAAGTGACCCCTTCCCAGCCCGCAGCCTCCCCTGGGCTCCCGGCTCTGGGGTTCCTCATGCCTGGCCCGCCATCTTTGTTGAGGAAAGGGACCCTTTAGCCACACTGTGTTATGAGGTGAGGCCGCTCTGGTGTGGGGATCTAGCATATTCCTGGCTCATGGAGTGGCCTGCCTGCCCTGTCTTCTAAGATCCCTTGGCCACCCCGCTTCAGCCTGAAGGCACAGCTCAGTTTCAAAGCCAAACACCCCCATTCCCTGCACCCCAGGCTTCCAGGCTCCGAGCCTCTCTCTCAGAGGGTGGCTGAATGGCAGGAAGCAACTCTGGCTCAGCTGACTTTGTTTTCCCTTCCCCAAAGTTGTTTTTCTGAGAGATTTGTAATGCAAGTCTCCTTGACTGTCCCCCCCCCCCCCCGTGCCACAACTGGAAACACTTGAAAAGGGAAGTCTCAGAGCCAGCCAGTGCTGGTTTCCAGAGCCCCCTAGACCACCCACTGCTTCTCTCCAGCCATGACATGCTGTCATTCCCTTAGTACCAGCTGTCCCACCCACCCCCTTCCAGAGCCCTGGGCAGGCCACAGATGGCCCTGGCACTGCAAAGCCAGGCCCAATGTCCCCTGCTCCAGCCATGGCAGGGACCCTCAGTTCATGACAGATCTGTAGCCAATCAGAAGAGGGGGAGATGGTGCCCCCTTCCGCAGCCATACACAAGTGGTGCCCATTTCCCTCAGATCCAACATCCTCCACCTCCAGCTTTGGAAAAGCCTCCTGGGCAGGAAACTCACTAGGACCCAGGATGGCTAGGGAGCACCCCCCGCCATGTCTGCAACCACCTCTGCCTCCTGTCTCTGCGCTGCCCCATCTCAGGGACCATGATGTCTCATCTTTTCCATGTTCCCAGCCCGGGCACAGGGCGCAGCTGCAACACCCCCTCCCCCTAGAATGTCTTGGGCATGTGCTTCCAGCCAGTGCTCTCCGTGTCACCCCGTTTTCCTCTTTACTGGGGACTACCCATGATTCTCACCTCACACTGGGCAGAGGCAGGGACAAGAACGAGCTCCTTCCCCCACCCGAAACGCCCGCTCTTCACCTCTCATCTTTGGGGGGAATTAAAGGGTTAAGATTTCAGAGAATCAGCCAAGAAATGTCCAGGTCCCCAGCTTGCCCTCAGCTTCTGGTTCCTTCTGCCACCCTCCCTGAGACCCTGGTAGTCCAAGAAGCCGTGGAAGACAGTGGCCCTGCCCTGAGTGGAGACCACAGCGGAAACCTTCATGCCTTATTCTTTCTAATGGGTAAAGGGGTTTTCTTAGCATGCCTGACCTCCCTGGAGATGCCACCCAGCTCCCCGAGGCACTGTGACGCCAGCCGCCCGCTGGGTCTCTCTGTTCAGACAACTTGGAATCTCACCCTTTGGGGCTGGACAGTTCCCAGCCTTCCGTGTCTCTGTCATATTGGGGCAGGAGAGGGGAGCTCTGGTCTCTTTGCTCCCAGCTCTGTAGCAGCCACCCAGCATCCCCTTTGAAGTGTACATGAGAGAAATATATTTACAAATGCTTTATTCTCTTCTTTAATAAAAAAAAAAATGTACCAGTATTCTAAAAGCCAAAACAGCCCTGTTATTTTTTTTTTTTTTGGGTCCGGTCATGGGGCCTGAACTCTGGGCCTGGGCGCTGTCCCTCAGCGCTTCAGCTCAAGGCTAGCACTCTACCACTTGAGCCAAAGCACCACTTCCGGCTTTTTACTTTTTATTTATGTGGTGCTGAGGAATCGAACCCAGGGCCTCTGGCATGCAAGGTATGCGCTCTACCATTGAGCCACCTTCCCAGCCCAGCCCTGTTATTTTTGTGTGTGTGTGGGTCATGGGGCTTGAACTCTGGGCCTGGGCGCTGTCCTTGAGCTCTTCAGTTCAAGGCCAGAGCTCTACCACTTGAGCTACAGCGCCACTTCTGGTTTTCTGGTGGCTTATTGGAGATAAGAGTCTCTCGGACTTTCCTGCCCTGGCTGGCTTTGAACCATGTTCCTCAGCTAGGATTACAGGAGTGAGCCAGCAGCACCTGGCCAGCCCTACAGTCGTGTGTGTGTGTGTGTGTGTGTGTGTGTGTGTGTGTGTGTCTCACAGGCCTGCCTTTCCTATGATCCTCCTGAGCGCCTGGCTTCTCAGCCTGTCCTTGTTCACTGCAACACCAGGAGCATCTGTACAGTTCTAAGCGAGCTCTGCAAAAAGTCTCCAACTTACTGGACAGAGCCCCCATTCCATTGGAGCATCTACTTTGGTGTGGGGGGGATCATGCCCCCAAATCAGTTAAAATTAAACCAAAATAGAAGATGAGGTGATGGGGAAATTGGAGAGTGGTTCTACATCAGCCAGGGCACGTATGTTCAGCACAGGTATACTGGCGTTAAATCATTTTTGGAGGCACTGGGGGCCTGAACTCAGGGCTTTGTACTCTTGCTTAAGCGGTTTGTTGCTGTTGTTTGTTGCTTGCTTAAAGCTGGTGCTCTGCGACTAGAGCCATATCTCCACTTCTGTTTTTTTGCCAGTTAATTGGAGATTGTTCTACCTGAGCTGGCTTTGAACCTTGATCCTCAGATCTCAGCCTCCTGAGTAGCTAAGATAACAGGAGAGAGCCTCGAGAACTCAGCATTCTCCCTCAACTCTAAAACTACCCTCTCCCTTCTGTTCACTACTGGGGCCTTAGGTAGTGGATATTCACTCCCTGTAGCCTCCTTACTGGATGGAGCTGGCACCTCCCCACTCCCAAGAGCCCCACCGAGTGACTGTCTTCAGGGGACAGGACAGACAGGAGGAGGGGGAAAGAAAGCAGTTACTAGCAAGGAGGTGAAGTTGTGCACTCCTGCCACAGACCTGCCACGTGCCTTCAGGAAGCAGGAAATGCACTGTGCATAGAGCTGGTCAAGACTGGATTTCCCACCCCAGAGCTTCAGGAAAAGCTAACATTCATCAAGTATCTGGAAGAAAAAGAAAATTTCTAGCTGGACTCTTAGTGACTTGTGCCTGTAATCTTAACTACCAAGAAGGCTGAGATCTCAGGATCACAGATCAAAGCCAGCCCAGGCAGGAAAGTCTGTGAAATTCTTACCTGCAATAAAGTGATTAAAAAAAAAAAGGGTCACAAGTGGAGTTGTGGCTCAAGTGGTAGAGCACCAGCCTTGAGGAAAACCTCAGGGACAGCACCCAGGCCCTGAGTTCTAGCGTCAGGACCAACACACACACACACACACGTGGGGAATGGTATCTGTGAGCCCATCAGCTACCAGGAATGGCTTGATGATTTGGTTTTTGAAGAAGAATCTCAGTAGGTAGCCCACGATGAGTGCTGGTGGTTCAAGCCTGTAATCCCAGCTACTCAGGAGGCTGCGATCTGAGGATTATAGTTCAAAGCCAGCCTAGGCAGGAAAGTCCGTGAGTCTCTTATCTCCAGTTAATCATCAGAAAACTGGAAATGGGCTGTGGCTCAAAGCAGTAAGGCCCTAGAGTTGAACAGAAAAATTGAGAAACATTGCCCAGGCCTCTGAGTTCAAGCTCCACAACTGACAAAACAAAAACAATAGGTAGCCCAGGCTGGCCTCAAATTAACAATCCTCCTGCCTTAGCCTCCTGAGTTCTGGGATTACAGGCATGCACCACCATGCTTGCCATCGATGATTCTTTGTCCTTTTCTCCTCTTTCTTCTCTTGCCATGAATGTCCCCCTCCTGAAGCACTATCTCAACCTGTGAAGGGACTGAGGAGGGGAAGGACAAAAGTGACGCCAGTCTTCAGTGTCGGCCTTTCTAGGGGTACAGGTGGCTTCTCTCAGGCCTGGTTCTCCCAGAAGGGCCTCCATTCTGGATGTTTTCCTACAGCAGCAGGTGAGGGGTGCTTGCCAGCTGCTCTATTCTCCATCCGAGGGCAGCTTGTCTCATTCTCTCCTCTACCCCCACCTCTTCCAGAATCCAGGCCACCAGATGGCCTGAGCAGGCTGTGTTTATTTGAGGCCATGGAAACCTACAGCTTCCTTTTCCTGAGGCTGTGCGGCACAAGCACAGGCTGGATCGCAGCCTGGGAGCCACGATGATTCCATCTCTGAGTTTCTTATTTCTAATCTTGAGTCCCAGACCTGAGTGAGAGACTGGCTTTGCTCTCCTGAGCAGCTCATTCCAGTCACCATGGAGACAACTCTGTTCCCTCTGGGACCGTGGGACTAAGTCAGACAAAGAAGGACCCAGGAGAGTTTCATTGCAGCCTACAGCTCCAAAAGAATATGTCAATTGCCATTCCTCCCTGGTTGGAGTTTACAATGTCAGTGCCTGGAAATTGGTTTATCTCCTCAATGATGCAGAGATAGTAAAGGCTCCCTTCAATGATAATCTCCGGTTTCAATCAGCCAGCATCCCCAGGGAATACTTAAACTATCCCAGGGGCTTATTTTTGTAGGTAATTATGCTTTTTGCCCCTAAAAATAGCACTCTTCATGAAGAAAACTACCACAAGCATTACTACTAATGACTACATTTATTGAGTTCTGTTTTCCCTCAGCACCGTGTAAAGGAACTTTGGGTTTAGCTTGTTTTCAAACTGCTGGCTCTACTTGGAACCTTTTCAGAATGAAGAGCTTCTCAGTTCAGGAGTTCATGCTTTAGCAGAGCTATTAAAAAAAAAAAAAAGATGGGGAGGGGTTGCTTTGCAGGTTGGGTGCCAGTGGCTCATACTTATAATTCTAGCTACTCAGGAGGCTGAGATCTGAGGATGCTTTTCTTTTTCTTTTTGTCAGTTGTGGGGCTTTAACTCTGGGCTGGGCACGGTCCCTCAGCTCTTCAGCTCAAGGCTAGCGCTCTGCCACTTGAGCCACAGCACCACTTCCAGTTTTCTGGTGGTTAATTGGAGATAAGAGTCTCAAGGACTTTCCTACCTGGGCTGGCTTTGAACTGTATTCCTCAGATCTCAGCCTCCTGAGTAGCTAGGATTACAGGCGTGAGCCACTGGCACCTTGCAAGAGAATCCTATTTCAAAGCCAGCCTGTGCAGGAAAGCCCGAGACTCTGGTCTCCAATTAACTAGCCAAAAGCTAGACCTGAGTGTGTGGCTTAAGTGGTACAGCACCTGCCTTGGAGCAGGGGAAGCTAAAGCTGAGTGAAAAGCCCTGAGTTCAAGTCTTAGTACCCCCTCTCCCCATATACAAACAAAGATCTAACTATGGCCCTCTGTACCTACTTCTCCAGGCTCCCCTTTACTTCCTGGCTAGAAGAAATCACCTTCCTAATCCTGGAAGCTGGGGGGTGGGTGGGGGGAATGTTGTCAACGCTATGGAAATACTTTCCTCTGTGACCTTCCTTTCTAACATGCCCTACAGACCTGCAAAGATGTGCTGATAGGCTGGCTGCCTTTTGGAAAGATCCAAAATCCTTTCATCTGTATCTAAACTCAACTCTCAAATACACATCACCACAAAAGGACCTCCATTCTGGATGTTTTCCTACAGCCGCAGGTGAGGGGAGCTTTGCCAGCTGCTCTATTCACCCCAGGGCAGCTTGTCTCAGTCTTTCCTCGACCTTGCTCAGTATTTGTGGAGTGCTACGGAGGTGCTATGCTCCTGTTGCTAGGCAGGGAGGCTCTCTCCTAGGGCTCACATTCTGCCTAAGAGACAGAAACTTAAATTAGAAAAGTAAGATCGGATGATGGGTAGCTAGAAGGCAGGCAATCAAGTTCAAAAAATAAGATTGGGCCACAGGGGAAGATTACACTAATGATAGTTTTCACTTGGATATTGAAGGATCCAAGAGGAGGCTGAACACATTGAGAAAAGAAGTATTTCTAGGGGCAAGGAATCCAGGGTTTTATCTTAAAGGTCTCCCAGCGTAGCCCACTGAGGCGCGGCCCGCTGAGTGCTGAGATTACAGGCGTGCACCACCAAGCTGACCCAGGGTTCCTTTTACTGGCTGGCTCTTCGGGAAACTCGCTGTCTGGGAGTCTTCCGGGTGCCAACCAGGCCTCCCCAGGAACAGCTGACCCGGGAGTATTACGGGGCGCCCAGCCTGCCGCCTCCAGGACAGGAGACTCGGAAGCGGGACGCAACCCCAGAAGCAGGACGGAACCGAAGTGTCCAGCGCAGCGCGAGCGCGCAGACCGCAGAAGGACGTGCACACCGGAAGTCGCTTGAGATTCCAACATGGCGGCCGCCAGGTGCCTGCGCTGGGGCCTGCCACGAGCCGGAACTTGGCTGTTCCCGCCGCCCGCACGCTGTCCCCGCCGGGCTCTGCACAAGCAGGTAGACGGCACCGAGTTCCAGAGCATCTACAGCCTGGACAAACTCTACCCCGACTCCAAGGGTTCCGACACCGCCTGGAGGGTCCCGGTGAGCTGGAAAGGACGACGTCATGCAGACGGGGTTCCATTGGCCGGGCATGGAGTCACGTGAAGGCCTCCGCGCATAACGTGACGTGGAGGCGGGGAGGGGCTTGTCGTCCTGGCAACCAGGGGGCGGGGCTGGGACTGCAGCGCTGGGACTGCGGGGCTGTGGCCTGGTCTCCGGTGGCTAGAGCGGTGGGCGCGTTGGGAAACTTGGTTAGATGGACTTCTTTCGAGGCCTGTAGCTTTTCCGCGTTTGTTTCTGGTCGTCAGGCCCACATTCTTACCCCCAGAGGCATTCTGGCCCGCCACGATGGACAATAAAGGTAGAGGCTGCCTGGTACCGGTGACTCACCCCTGTAATCCTTACTGAGACTGAGATCCGAAGGTCCGTGGTTCGAAGCCAGACAGGTCAGAAAAGCCCCCGTAAGACTCATCTCCAATTAATCATTCAAAAACCAGAAGTGGAGCTGTGGATCAAGCGCCAGAGAGCTACCCTTGAGCGGGGGAAAAAGCTCCAGGACAGTGACCAGACCCTAAATTCAAGCCTCAGTACTGGCACAAAATTAATTAATTAAGACCAAAAGGAAGGAGGAATGCTAGAGATAGAGTTGCCCTTTAAAGTAGGATAGGGCCTACGAAGAGTTGGCATTTAAGTAACAGTAGAAGAAACAAATCAATGAGCTGTGAGAACATGGGGGAGGTGAACATCCCAGGTGTGTTTATGCTCCCAAGGCAGTCCCTGTATTCAGGTTTTCATAATCCCTTCACATATATGTATAGACACAGATAAACAGACATAGAGAAATACAGATTTCAGCCACATGTGAGCAGCACATAAACTCTCAAGGCAGTAGCATGCTGGACAGGTATGGCTGATCAGGGCAAGTCTAGAGTGAAGCTACATAGGAGAAGGGTAGTTGGGGAAAGCGTCTTCTGGCCGTTAACCTTTCCTCTGAATGCAGTAGAGACCTTTTGGAGAGCTGAGGTAGAGAATGGAATGTTAGAACCCAGTTTTACAAGAATCTTTCATAGAGTCTGGCCACTCACAGAGGATGGCCATCACAAGATAAATTAGGAGGTTGTAATAATGCAGCCAGAAGGCTGGGAGTGTGGCCTAGTTGGTAGAGTGCTTGCCTAGCATGCATGAAGCCCTGGGTTCCATTCCTCAGCACCACATAACAGAGAAAAAGCCAAAAGTGGTGCTGTGGCTCAAGTGGTAGAGTGCTAGCCTTGAGCAAAAGAAGCTCAGTGACAGTGCCCAAGCCCTGAACTCAAGCCCCAGGGCTAGCAAAATAATAATGATAATCATCATCATAATAATAGCATAGGCAGAGAGGACAAACAGGGTGAAAACAGGAGGAGTACTCTAAATTGATCAGATTCTAGCCTCTGTGTGTATGGGACAGGGCAGTCCCCAGTGACAGTGAGGTGTGAAAGTACATTAGCATCTCAGAAGTGACTTTACATATGGAACTGAAGTTGTGAGGTTTGAGCCAGCAAGTAGTCAGTCACCAACACAGATGACATTTTTTTTTTTTTTTTTTTGCCAATCTTGGGGCCTGAACTGAGGGCCTGGGCACTGTCCCTGAACTTCATTTGCTCAAGGCTATAGTACTCTACCATTTGAGCCACAGTGCCACTTCCAGCTTTTTTCTGTTTATGTGGTCCTGAGGAATTGAACCCAGGGCTTCATGCATGCTAGGCAAGCATTCTACCACTAAGCCACATTCCCAGCCCACAGATGATATTTTCATCATGGAAATATGAACAGAGAAAGGATTTCAGGCAGGGCTGGGAAGGTGGCTCAGTGGTACAGCGCTTGCCTTGCATGCATGAGGCCCTGGGTTCGATTCCTCAGCACCACATAAGCAAAAAGAAAAAACCCGGAAGTGGTGCTTTGGCTCAAGTGGTAGAGCGCTAGCCTTGAGCTGAAGAGCTGAGGGACAGCGCCCAGGCCCAGAGTTCAGACCCCACGACCGGACCAAAAAAAAGAAAAAAAAGAAAGGATTTCAGGCAGACACCAGTATTTAAGATTACAAAGGCCAGGATTATGCCTGCAATCCTAGCTGAAATCTGGAGGATCATGGTTTGAAGCCAGACCAGGCAGAAAAGTCTGCTAGACTCTATTTCCAATTACACAGCAAAATGCCAGACCTAAAGGATGGCTGAAGTAGTAGAGCATCAGCTGTGAACAAACTTCATGAGACCCTTGGCTTAAGCCCCAGCACATGCCCACGCACGCACGCACAGATTCTAAGGAAGACATAGGGAGATATCTTCCCTCAGTCATTCTTTTTGTTGTTGTTGTTGTTCAGTCATGGGGCTTGAATTCAGGGCTTGGGCCCTGTGGAGCTCTTTTGCTCAAGGCTAGTGTTCTACCACTTTGAGCCACTGCTGCCCTTGCAGTTTTTGAATGGTTATTTGGAGATAAGAGTCTCATGGGGACTTTTCTGCCCAGGCTGGCTTTGAACCATGATCCTCAGCTCTCAGCTTCCTGAGTAGCCAAGATTACAGTTGTGAGCCACTAGCACCCAGCTTTCCTCAGTCATTCTAAGACAAAAGGGATGCAGGCAGCCAGAAGGAATGTTTGGGCTTGGATGTTGGCAGCCAGAGGGTGTCCAGACAAAGATGCTTTGTGCTTAGAGGGCCAGAAAAGCCTTGGAGAGGGTAGTGATTGTGCTGGGCCTCAAGGATTTAAGGCTGAAGAGGACAAAGAGCTTGGGGAGAAACACATGATAGATAAGTCCTAAGGCAGTTTGACAGGAGCCTGCAGGGCAGAAGTCCCAGTCCCAGTCAAGGTAGGTAACCTCACCTGGGAGCCTCCTGTGACACCCAAAGGAGCCGGGAGTAGAGGTGACCAGGCTTGAGGCTCAAGGGTGACAGTGGATGTTGGCTCTGTTCTGCAGCTACATACAGATGCATGTGTACAGGTCTCTGGCCGTGCCTCCCAAGAGCTTATGTCCACTCAGTCAGGGACAGCTGCAGATGTGAATTCTGTTTCCTAGAGGAGCGGAGTTTTGGGTTTTTTGTTTTGTTTTGCCAGTCCTAGGTCTTGAACTCAGTACCTGGGCTCTGTCCCTGAGCTGCTTTTGCTCAAGGCTAGTACTCTGCCAGTTGAGCCACAATGCTAACTTCTGGCTTTTTCTGCTTACGTGGTACCAAGGAATTGAACCCAGGGCTTCATGCATGCTAGGTAAGCATGCTAAGCTAAGCCACAGTCCCAGCCCTCAGAGGAGTGTTTCTAAGGGGGTATTTCTGGAATCAGCAGATACTGCTTCTGTCACTCTGATCTGATGACTTTGTTGGACACTTGAAAATGCTCATTATTTCATTTGAGAGAATTACAGTTTTAAAACTACTTCTTTTGTTGCTCTGGACCAGTTAGGGGGTCACCCAGTAGGTAATACTTCTTTGACACTGTGTACATTACATTCCAGGGTGATTTGAAACAAGCCATCAATGACATCCCTCTAGGTAAGTAATTTGGCTTTCATTAAAATAGCAGACAGGGTGGAGACGTGGCTCAGTTGGTAGAGCACTTGCCAATGAGCGAAAGTGTCGGTTACTGAGTTTGAGTCCTGGTCTCAGACTGAAAAAAAAAGAGAGGCTAGAGGTATAGCTAAGTGGTAGAGTGCCCCCCTCCATCTCTCACTTATTCCTTCCAAAATCCCTTGCCCACTTAAGGAAAAGAAATGGTTTGATGGGGCTGGGAAGGTGGCTCAGTGGTAGAGTGCTTGCCTTGCATGCATGAGGCCCTGGGTTCGATTCCCCAGCACCACATAAGCAAAAAGAAAAAAAAGCCAGAAGTAGCACTATGACTCAAGTGGTAAAGCGCTAGCCTTGAGCTGAAGAGCTTAGGGACAGCGCCCAGGCCCAGAGTTCAGACCCCACGACCGACCAAAAATAAAAAAGAAAGAAATGGTTTCTGGGTAAAAAGTAAATGGCTGTGTAGCTACTCATGTACAACTATACAGGTTACCACACAATTGAAGAGTGAGCTTGCTTGCTTTCTCTCTCTCTGTCTTTTGTTCGTGTGTGTGTGTGTGTGTGTGTGTGTGTGTATTGGTACTAGGGCTTGAACTCAGGGCCTTATGCTCTCATTCAGCGTTTTCTGCTTGTAGCTAGTGTTCTACTACTTGAACTCTGCCTCCAATCCAACTTGAACTTGGTGCCTGGGCACAGTCCCTGAGCATTTTCACTCAAGGCTGGCGCTCTACCACTTGAGCCACACTACTACTTGGATTCTTGCTGGTTATTTGGAGTCTCATGGACTTTTCTGCCCAGGTGGCTTCAAATCTGAAGCCCCAGATCTCAGCCTCCTGAATAGCTAGTGCCACTGGCACCTGGCTTGGTACTAGAATTTAAATCCAGAACTTTTTGCTTGCTGGGCAGGTGCTCTGCCCCTAGAGCCACACCTCCAGCCTCAATCTGTGTTTGACTGTGTGTGGCTAGAAGGGAGGGCTGTGTGGTGGGGCAGCTGGACTGACGGTGGGTTCACAGTCTGTGTATTTTCGTGTGTGATAGTCATTTGTGTGTGTGTTCCTCCGTTTTACAGACCGCCTGACCATATCTTACTGTCGGAGCAGCGGGCCCGGGGGTCAGAACGTTAACAAAGGTACAGCACCTTGGTGTGTTCTTTTGCTTTAAAACTCAATTAGGGGATGGGCTTGAGGAGGGAGCACTGTGCATGCATGCCGGTGAAATAAAGGGATTTTTCAGCAGCAGCTTACACGCCACCAGCTTAGAATAATCCTCTCTGTTCTTCTGAGTGTGGTCTGACCGTAGGCTCTCTGCTGTGGGTTGCTAGACTGGCTTGTGAAGCTGAACAAAGAGAACTCAGTGTGAGCTGCTAGCCTGGTCCAGGAACAGGTTTCCTGCATTCTTTTTGTTTTGTTTTACTTTTTTTTTTTGTGCCAGTATTGGGGCTTGAATCTGGGCCTGAGTGCTGTCCCTGAGCTTTTGTATGCAGTGTTAGCACTCTACCACTTGAGCCACAGCTCCACTTCAGGTTTTCTGGTGGTTAATTGGTGATAAGAAGCTCATGGACTTTTCTGCACAGGCTGTCTTTGAACCATGATCCTCAGATCTCAGCCTCCTCAGTAGCTGGGATTACAGGTGTGCGTCACTGGTGCCTGCTGGTTCCCTTCCTTATGGGACACTCCTCCTTTTCTTTTTGGGACCACAGTAGAACTGTACATGAGCGCTGTACATTGGGTTCCCAGGATCTCTTTTGTCTTAGCCCACTAGCTTTGCAGGCCTGTGCTGGGGCTGGTTGCTACAGGATTCAGTGTGTGTGGTCGGAGTCCCCTGGGCACTGGCCTTCCTAAGAGCCTTGTGATCTATGTGTGCCCTGTTCTCCCTTCATCCACAGTGAATTCCAAGGCAGAGGTCAGGTTCCACTTGGCATCTGCTGACTGGATGGCAGAGCCCGTGCGGCAGAAGATCGCTGTCAGGGTACTCTTCTCCCCATCTTCCTCCTGGTGCCACGGGGGGGGGGGGCAGGGAAGGGAGGGCTAAGCCTGCCCCTGCAGGACCCATTGTTATGTTTGTTCTCTGCAGCATAAAAATAAGATCAACCGAGCAGGAGAGTTGATAGTCACCTCTGAAAGCAGCCGCTTTCAATTCCGCAATCTAGCAGACTGCCTACAGAAAATTCGAGATATGATCGCTGAGGCCAGCCAGACACCCAAGGAGCCATCCAGAGAAGATGCTCAAATCCAGAGAATTAGGTATCAGACAGTGCCCTAGGCTTCCATGAACTGGTCTGTGCGGCCAAAGGTTGCACTGGTGAGAGGAGGCAGGGTGGAGCCTGAGAGCTCCCAGCGTGGGGGGGTGGGGTGGGAGTGGGGGGGGGTGAGGACTTTGACCCAGCTGAGGTGCGCCTCTGGCACCTGCAGGTGTGGGGCTGCTCGGCTTCCAGCTCCTCTCTCCACTCTGAAAAGCACTGATTGGACATCTGGGCCTCACTGCAGTGTTTTTGTTTCTAGGATAGAAAACATGAATCGGGAAAGGCTGAGACAAAAGAGAATCAGTTCCGCCATAAAGACAAGCAGGAGGGTAGATGTGGATTGACATCACCCGCAGCAGTAAAGACCAGTGCTTGGGACGTCGCAGTAACACCACAAAGAAGATGGCTCTGTTTCATTTGTCTGTGGCGAATGATTGTGCACTGACTCCGTACAAGCACCATCCGTGGTCCCTAGGCAGTGTCATTGTTCTTCCCGTCCCCCAACATTGTTGGCCCCAGTAAACTCCCCAGCTTGCTGGGCTCCACTCCCCATTCAGAATGCCTCAGAGCCGAATTCTTATTTTTTCTCTCAATGAGATAGATCCGCCTGGGCACCAACCTCATAGCATGGCGCAGGGCAGAGGGTTCTGGCTCTGTCCTTGAGGGCTGAAGCGAGTAAGCAGCCATTTCGGCTGAGCTTTGGGAAAGGTGTGCGTTTTAATCAGGGAGGGAGTAGGACATGGCGTCTGAAGAGGACAGACAGTGTGAACACAAGACAGTGTGAGCACGGAACAGGAAACAGCTGTCTGCAGGTGCCGAGGAAAACAGTCCTGCATGGGGGCTGAGGGTTTGACTAAGGGGTAAGGGAGAGGCAGTGCGAAGACCTCAGATCCAAGGGAAGGTGGTTAGGTTTGGGGTTTTTTTTTGGCCCTTCATGGGACTTGAACTCTGGGCCTGGGCATTTCCCCTGAGCTGCTTTTGCTCAAGACTAGCACTCTACCACTTGAACCACAGCTCCACTTCTGGCTTTTTCTGAATAGTTTATTGGAGATAAAGGGTCTCATGGATTTTCATGCCCAGGCTGGCTTCATACGATTCTTGGATCTCAGCCTCCTGAGTAGCTAGGATTGCAGGTGTGAGCCACCGGCGCCCAGTAGGAGGTTAGGTTTTAATAGAGAAGCTGGACACTGGTGGCTCACTATAATCCTAGCTACTCAGGAAACTAAGATCTGAGGATCACAGTTCATAGCCAGCCTGGGAAGATAAATCCAATAGACTCTTAAGTCCAAATAACCAGTAAAAAGTCAGAAGTAGAACTGTAGCTTAAGTAATAGAGCATCACTTTTGAGGGAAAATGCTAAGCAAGAGTAGAGTATAAAGCCTTGGGCTGGGAGTGTGGCTTAGTGGTAGATTGCTTGCCTAGCATACATGAAGCCCTGGGTTCGATTCCTCAGTACTACATACACAGAAAAAGCTAGAAGTAGTGCTGTGGGTCCAGTTTTAGAGTGCTAGCCTTGAGCAAAATGCTCAGGGACAGTGCCCAGGCCCTGAGTTCAAGCCCCAGGACTGGTACCCAAAAATAAAACAAACAGGAGGCATAGAGTATTTGAAGGACGAAGCAGCATGCATGAGGAGCTGTGTGAGGTGTAGACTTCAAAGGCAGGGCTGGGAAGATTTTTACAGTCCTCTGTTTGAGGATGAACACAGAGGCTAGCATGACAGAAGGTTACTTGGCAGTTCTTAGAATGTTCTATACTGTCAGATCAAGTTCTCCCATTTGACAAATACCACGTCATGATGTATCAGATGTGCACTAATGAACCAGGTGTGAGCAGATACATGCCTCCCTGCAGGCCAGGCCAGATACCAGAGAAACATTGTTTGGCATCATATAGATGAGCAGGGGGTTGAGGGTCATATGCGGGATGTGCAACGTTCTTTAACTTAGTGATGCTGGGTGTGTGACACACTGGATGAGGGGGAGGATGGCAGGGAACAGAGGAAGTCATCCTTGGATATTCTAGCAGGTGACAATGAAAAGCTGAGCTTGGGGTGTGGCTCAGGAGGCAGAGCTGGTGAGAGACACTGAGTTCAAACCCCCAGAAAAGGACGGGGGTAGGGGGGTACATTGGGAAGGTGGCTCAGTGGTAGAGTGCTTGCCTAGCATGCATGAAGCCCTGGGTTTGATTCCCAGGACCACATAAGCAAAAAAAGAAAAAAGCCGGAAGTGGCGCTATGGCTCAAGTGGTAGAGTGCTAGCCTTGAGCTGAAGAGCTGAGGGACAGCACCCAGGCCCAGAGTTCAGGCCCCACGACCAGACCCAAAAAAAAAAAAAGATTTCTAACCAGCATACGCCCTGAACAAACCTTGCCAACATCCCATCTCCCTTCCATCGTCATAAACTCGAACAGAACAATCAGAATCACCTCAGTCAGAGTGGCATCTTCTCAGGACTACAGGAATCAATCTAGTTTTCTTGTTCTTTTATTTTTGTTGTCTTTTTTTTTGCCATTCCTGGGGCTTGAACTCAGGGCCTGGGCACTGTAGTGCTCTACTACTTGAGCCACAGCTCCACTTCTGGTTTTCTGGTGGTTTACTTGAGATAAAAGTCTCATGGACTTTCCTGACCAGGCTGGTTTTAAACTGCCATCCTCAGATCTCAGCCTACTAAGTAACTGAGATTATAAGTGTGAGCCTGGCTTAATTCATAATTTTTAAATGACTTCATTACAACGTACCTTTATAATTGTCCTACTTTATTATTAATTATTGTGCTGTGGGTCCAGTTTTAGAGTGCTAGCCTTGAGCAAAAGCAGCTCATTGACAGTGCCCAGGCCCTGAGCTCAAGCCCCAGGACTGGCCAAAAAATGGGGAAAAAATGGATTTCTATTCTACTTATGTAACCCAAGAAAGGTCTCAAAAGACAGAGGCAGGGTGACAACGGCAGCTGGATGGGCAGAGGTGAGGCGGGCAGAGGCAAGGTGGTATAGAAGACACGGCTCCGTAGAAGGGAAGCTAGGTAAAAGTGTTTCTTGGAGAAACCAGTACTCAAGGTACAGAGGGGGGTGAGCCGGGGAGGGGGGGTCACTCCTAGACCTGCCTGGGGCTGGGATGGTGAGTGCAAATTACATCCATCTCCTGCCCCCCCACCCCAGCTGGGACCCTCTGGGAAGTGGCTACCCTGTCGTTATTACAGGGGCTTAAATAAGAGACTCCTGCTCATCTCCAGAGAATCATAGCCTTGGTTTCTAGCTCAATTCACTGGAACCCAGAGGTTCCAGCCAAGACCCCTCACCCCTACTGGAGCTGCTGCCCAGCCAGGGTGTGAGCAGGCAGGGACCCCAGGGGCAGGTGGAGAGGAAATGCCAGGTGTTCCAGGAACCTGGGGACAACATTGGCCTGGGAAGAATGGGAGCTGGGGGTTGGGGGTAGGTAGCCCCAGCCAAGCATGGTTGCATGAACCCTCCTGGCCTACAGGAGCTAGATGTGTGGCCAGGAGTGAGGTGAAGAAGGAGGGGTATTGGGAACACAGACAAGGCAAGCCAGCACTCAGGGAGGAAGGAAGGAAAGCAGAGGAGACTTAGAAGACACTTGTGATTTGTGAAGGCCCCTGGGAAAGCAGGAAATGCACAGGAGGGGAGAGTGGGGGAAACAGACACACACCAGTGGCTCACACCTGTAATCCTAGCTACTTAGGAGGCTGAGATCTGAGGATCTTGAAGCCAACCTGGGCAGAAGAGGCCATGAATGAGACTCTTCTCTCCAATTAACTAGCAAAAAAAAGGGGGGGGTAGAAAGTGGAGGAGGTGTGGCTGAAGTGGTAGAGCACCAGCTTGAACAAAAAATACCAAGTGAGAGTATAAGGCCCTGAGTAGCATGTGCGCCCCCCCCCCCCACTCCGCCAAGCAGGTTCAAAAGAATGAACATGACAGGTCTCAAAGACTCAGGACTGAGTGACAAAGACAACTACAATTCCACTAAGCTGATACTCAAGAAGACGCAAAACTACTTCAGGAATGCCCTGTCTCAACGGAAGTGGCTCAAAGACGTGTGCATAGGTACACACGGAGAATCAAGTCTTTTTTGGTGGAGGCTGGAATCCAAGGTCTAGTGCTTGCCCTCTACCACTTGAGTCACACTTCCCAACCCTGTTGTTTGTAGTGTGTGTGTGTGTGTGTTTGGATAGGGTCTCCCTAAAGTTGTCCTAGCTGGTCTCAAATTCCTGATCCTCCTGTCTCTGCCTCCCAATAGTGGTACAGCCATTGTAAGACCTGTAGTTACTACTGCTTGTTAGATTTCAAAGGCATTGTCTTTTTCTTTTTCTTTTTTTTTTTTTGAGGGTCCTGGGCTTGAACTCTGGGCCTGGGCGCTGTCCTTCAGCTCTTCAGCTCAAGGCTAGTGCTCTACCACTTGAGCCACAGCACCACTTCCGGCTTCTGCTTATGTAGTGCTGAGGAATCGAACCCAGGGTCTCATGCATGCAAGACAAGCACTCTACCACTGGGTCACCTTCCCAGCCCCTGTTTGTCATTCTTAAACAGGATTTTAAATAAATAAATAAACAGATAAATGGACTCTATGTTTATCACTTGCCTAAGGCAGGGTATTCTGCTCCAACAGGAAAGCAAGACTAGGGTGAAGTACCCCTTTGCCTGCTGCATACATACAGAACAGACAGGCGTAACAGGACCTGTGGGGGACGACTGTCCGTGTTTTCCTTTCAGGGGTATGATTCTTATTTGTTCATCTTCAGCCTAAAATTCTTGGGTTACCCTGATAGGGTATTTTTCCTCTTTGTGGGGTTCCCCCCTCCCACGGGTTTGACTATAGATGACACAACAAACCCAGCGCAGTAGGAACGTGCATCCCTGGTGCAGATGTCCTGGCGGCTCAGCGCGGGTCCCAGCGTGGCCTCGGACGGCCCCAGCGCGGCCCCAGCGCGGCCTCGGGCGGCCCCCAGCGCGGCCCAGCGCGGCCTCGGACGGCCCCAGCGCGGCCCCCAGCGAGGCCCCAGCCTAGCGCGGCCCCAGCGAGGCCCAGCGCGACCCCAGCGCAGCCTCCAGCGCGGCCCCAGCCCGGTCTCGGGCAGCCCCAGCGCGGGCCCAGCGCGGCCCCCAGCTCCCTTGTGTACTGGGACTGGGCTGGAGTCTGGTGCTGGCCCAGCTCTCTGCTCCTGAAGACGCTACAAGGTCACCGTCCTGGAAGCGCCGTCCATTAGAGGCATAGGGGCAACTAGCACGTGCTGTGAGCCCCAGTGGCCTAATGGATAAGGCACTGGCCTCCTAAGCCAGGGATTGTGGGTTCGAGTCCCACCTGGGGTAAGGGCATTTCTTTTACCAAACGACGTGTCGGTCCACCTTAGCCTCCTACTGCACTCCGACCTGAAGGAGAGTCCCAGTACCGACGTGGGAAGAAAGATTTCCCTCCCCAGCCAAAAGCAAGGCCAAGTAGGGGAACTGCGTGGCCACCGCCCTTCCATAAGCCAAGTCCTGCCACCAAAACTCATTTGAAAGGCTGCAAATGAGGGCACCACCCCAGGTGGGACTCGAACCCACA